ATTCAATGTGATCCCAATCAGAATACCAAGAACATTCTTCTCAGATCTAGAAAAAAATGCTAATAAAATTCATATAGAAATACAAGAGATCCCAAATAGCTACAAAAACCTTATACAACAAAAACAAAGCTGGAGGCGTCACAGTATGAGACTTCAAGATATATTACAGGGCAGTTATAAACAGAACAGCCTGGTAGTGGCACAGAAATGGACATGTAGGTCAACAGAACAGAATAGGAACTCCAGAAATCAATCCACGTATCAACCACCAACAAATCATTGACAACGGAGCTAAAATCCCTAGAGAGAGGCAGCCTCTTTAGCAAATGGTGCTGGGAAAATTCAATCTCCCTGTTTAGAAGTATGAAACAAGATCCCTATCTTACACCTTATACAAAAATCAACTCCAAATGGATCAAGGATCTGAACCTATATATGATACCATCAAATTATTAGAGCAGAACATTGGAGAGACTCTTAAGACATTGACATAGGCAAAGAGTTCTTGGAAAAGACCCCAGAAGCACAGGCAATCAAACCCAAAATAGACAAACAGATTATATCAAACTGAGAAGCTTCTTTTATTTATTTATTTATTTATTTATTGACAGGCAGATTTAGACAGTAAGAGAGAGAGACAGAAACAGAGAGAAAGGTCTTCCTATCCGTTAGTTCACCCCTCAAATGGACGCTATGGCCGGTGCGCTGTGCCTATCCGAAGCCAAGAGCCAGGTGCTTCCTCCTGGTCTCCCATGCGGGTGCAGGGCCCAAGCACTTGGCATCCCCCACTGCCTTTCCGGGCCACAGCAGAGAGCTGGACTGGAAGAGGAACAACCGGGACAGAATCCAGCGCCCCAACCGGGACTAGCACCCAGGGTGCCGGTGCTGCAGGCGGAGGATTAGCCAAGTGAGCCGCAGCGCCAGCCAAGAAGCTTCTATACTACAAAAGAAACACTTGGAAAAGTGAAGAGGCAACAGACAGAATGGGAAAAAAATTTTGCCAACTATTAAACTGATAAAGGATTGATACTGAGAATCTACAAAGAGCTCAATAAATTCAACAACAAAACAATCCAATTAAGAATAAGCAAAGAACATGAACATTTTTCAAAAGAGGAAATTCAAATGGACAACAGACACATGAAAAAATGCTCAGGATCACTAGCTCTCAGGGAAAGGCGTATCAAAACCACAATGAGACTTTACTTCACCCCAGTTAGAACATCTCTCATACAGAAATCAATAAACAACAAATGGTGGCAAGGATGTGGGGGAAAAGGTACCCTAATACACCATTGGTGGGAATGCAAACTAGTAAAACCACTATGGACAACAGTATGGAGATACCTCAGAAAGATAAAAAGAAATCTACCATATGACCCAGTATTCCCACTCCTGGGAATTTACCCAAGGAAAATACAATCAGCCTATGAGCTATCTGTAACATATTTATTGTAGCTCAATTCACAGTAGACAAGTTATGGAAGCAATCCAGATGTCCATCTGCTGATAAAAGGATAAATTATGGTATAGATACACTATGGAATACTACTCAGCTGTAAAAAATAATGAAATCCTGTCTTCTGCAACAAAATTGATGCAACTAGAAACTATTATATTTAGTGAAATAAATCAGTCCCAAAAAGACAAATAGCTTATGTTTTCACTGACTAGTGGCAACAGAGTACCAAAAATGTGATAGGAGTAAAAGTGACATTTTGAACTTCAATAATTGATTATAGCCCTGAACAGTGGTTTTTTTTTCTTCTATTTATTGAAGTCTATTTACTGTACAGTTAACCTTACGAGTGCAAAGTAAACTGAAAGTAGATCACTGTAAAAATTGAGAAGGATTAGGAGAGGAAGGAGAAGAAAGGATGAGAGTGAGGGCAGGAGGGAGGTTAGGGTGGGACATACCACCACCTTCCTAAATCAGTATACATGAAATTTGTACACCTTAAATAAAAAAACTGCAAAAAAAAAAAAAAAAATGACGGGGTAGAGCTTGTAGTCTAAACATGTGGCAGCAAAGACTGTTGATCTGTTTACCATTGTTTCTGATTTTATGTCATTGTAACTGGACACCAAATGATTTCTGTGACATTTTCTCCACTATGCTGACTGAAGCTTCCCTTGAGGACTTTAATACTATCCATTTTTATTGATGATCCAAGCATAGTTGAAAAATACGTAAATTCTTCTTTTAAAAAAACTTTCTTTAAAAGATTTTATCTATTTGGGAGGTAGATTTACAGACAAAGAGAGGAGAGACAGAGATAAAGGTTTTCTATCCACTGGCTCACTCTCCAAATAACCGCAACAGCTGGCCAATCAGAAGCCAGATCAGGAGCTCCTTCTGGGTCTCCCACGTAGGTTCAGGGGCCCATGTACTTGGGCCATATTCTACTGCTTTCCCAGGCCATAGCAGAGTTTTAGATCAGAAGAAGAGCAGCCAGGACCAGAACCATCACCATATGGGATACTGGCACTGTAGGTGGAGGCTTAGCCCACTATGCCCCAGCACCAGTCCCAATATGTGTGTTCTTTAATTACTGGGTGCAGGACTCTACATATACCCATTGGACCAATCTTGCCATTGTGGTGTTCAAATTTTCCATGACCTTAATAAGTTTATGCCTGTCAGATTTTTTTATTTTTATGTAATTGTTCTCATTTGAAAGGCAGACAGGCCGACAGTGATCTTCAGCCTCCTAGTTCATATCCCAAATGCCTGCAACAGCTGGGGCAGGCCCAGACTAAAGCTAAGAGTCAAGAATTCAAGTAAGGGCCGGCGCCGTGGCTCACTAGGCTAATCCTCCACCTTGCGGCGCCAGCACACCGGGTTCTAGTCCCGGTCGGAGTGCCAGATTCTGTCCCAGTTGCCCCTCTTCCAGGCCAGCTCTCTGCTGTGGCCAGGGAATGCAGTGGAGGATGGCCCAAGTACTTGGGCCCTGCACCCCATTGGGAGACTAGGAGAAGCACCTGGCTCCTGCCATCGGATCAGCACGGTGCGCCAGCCGCGGCGGCCATTGGAGGGTGAACCAATGGCAAAGGAAGACCTTTCTCTCTTTCTCTCACTGTCCACTCTGCCTGTCAAAAAAAAAAAAAAAAATTTTTTTTTTCAAGCAAGGTCTCCCACGTGGATGGCACAGACTCAACTATTTGAGACATCATCTGCTGCCTCCCAAAGTACACATAAGCAGGAAGCTGGATAAAAACAGGAGGAACCAGGATTCAAACCATGCACTCTAGTATGGGATGTGGGTGTCACAAGCAACAACTTAATCTCTCATCAAATGCTTGCCCCTGATTTTCTTTTTAATTAATTTAGTTGAGAGGTAGAGAGCTAAGAGAGGGAGAAGACGACAGACCAACAGAGAGAGAGAGACAGAGAGAGAACATGCAAGAGAGTGCACTCATCCACTGGCCATTCCCAAATACTGGCAACAGTGGAGGCTGGGCAGAGCCAAAGTCAGAGATCCAAAAACTCAAGTCTCCCATGTGGATACAGGAACACAGTTAACGTAAGCCATCCTTTCTGCCTCTCAGGATCTACATTAGCAGGAGGCTGGAGTCAGGAGCCACAGGCAAATATGAACACAGATAACGTGATACAGGATACAAGCATCTAAATCAGCATTTTAACTGTTGGGCCAAATGCTCACCTGAGCTTAATGCATTGAGAGAGAGAAAGAAAAGTATCTCCAGCCAAGATCACAGTTTTGTTCATCTCTCTTCATAATCCTGTCAGTTTACTTAGACTGTTACCTAGTGTGGGTTCAGGCTTGTTAAATCTCCCAGAAGGACTTTTCCTTGTATTATATTACACAATGATGCCTTAAGTCTCCTTGCCCAATATTAATGCTATTGCAGCAGCTCTGTTTCCTTTAGTATTTGTCTGTCAGCTAGGGTTTTATTGGAGTGAAAAGAACAGGCATATATTAGAGAGATTTGACCAACAATTATGGAAGCAACTGAGCAGTATACACACAGCTGCTGCTTCATCTAGCACTGGATCAGAAATCAGAGGACAGGTAATCAGGCAGGAAATATGGAAATGAACTGGGATGAGCACAGACTTAAACTCACATTTATTTTTAACCAATCTATGGGGGAACAAAAAAAAACTGCCAAATGAGCTAGTATCCTCCACTACAGAGCCCACACACCTGACCTAGAACTTAGAGAAGCTCAAAGATTCTGTGGAAGCTGGAGGTCAGAGGCTACTGTGCGACACAGGCAGAGATCTGCAGCAGGGTATTGGGCCATAGCAGTGCCTGTCCCTAAGCCACCCTCTGAACAGACACACTGCAGCTTCACTGCCACCTTACAGAGCACAAGCAAACTTTTCCTGTGGCTGGTCTAACCTGAAACTGCCCAAGAAAGGGAACTGTGGGAAAAGTAGTTCCAGTTCAAATTACATTGACAGTAGAAAACCAGCATAATTTGCATGAAATTTTTTTTTTATTTTTATCAAGTGGTTTTAGAGGCAGAAACAGACAGAAAGATGTCCCATCCGCTGGTTCACTCCTCAAATGCCTGCAACCACTGGCTGGGGCCAGAGCTAAAAAGCCACAAACCTAATTCAGGGCTCCCACATGGGCAGCAGGAACCCAACCACATGAGCCATCGCTGCTGCCTCCTGGGGTCCTTATTAGCACGAAGCAGGATTCAGGAGCCTCAGTCAGGTACAGACCCAGGGACTCCAAGAAAGGACTCAGCATCTTAACCACTAAGCAGAACAGTCATCTCAACACACATACTTTCTTTCACCTCCTTCGTTTTATACTTTCTGTGTACTTACGATTGAGGTCTTTTGTAGGTACTGCACTGCCAGATTTTTCCTTCTTATCTAAAATTCTTTTAACTGTTATATCTATTGGGATTTACAATTTGATAATTAATAAAAGGATTGCTTTAAACAAAATGAAATAAAGTAGTACCTATACCAAAACACACGCAGCTTTGCATTTCCGAAGTACGTATCACTTGTTACTCACCACTTCTCCAGCAGAGGCAGCCAGCATATGCTTTACAGGTGTCAGGTAGGATGATGACTCAGAGTGCACCAACCATTTCACATATTCATAGGTGATAAAAAAGGCAGCAGCTGAAATTCAAAACAAGCTGGTCTTTCACAAAGTTTAAATACACATTCAGAATGTTCAAAGTATTTTTCAAAAAGGCCTAACATTTATCAAACTATGAGATAACAGATAAAGCAGACAGTTAAACATATACCCTCTTTTCTCTAGCCTCACTCTTTCAGAATTTACGGAGCCCTGATATTCACCTGTCCCCGAACTTAGACAACTGCAGAACACAGGCAGCATTGTGCTGCAGCGGATTAAGCCACTGCTCCAGATGCCTGCATCCCCTATCAAAGTGCCTGGTTCATGCCATGGACACTTCCAGTTTCTGACCAGCTCCCTGCTAATGCAACAGGGTGACAATGGATAATAGCCGAGGTAACTGAGAGTTCCTATCACTCATGTGGGAGACCTGGACGGAGTTTTTAGCTCCTGGCTTCAGCCTGGCCCAGCCCCAGCTGTTGCAGGACTTTGGGGAAACAACCAACAGATGGAAGATCTCTGTGTCTTTCCCTCTCCTTGTCACTCTGCCTTTCAAATAAATAAATCTGAAATCATGATTCCCACCCTGAGGGAGCCTAACAGATAACCCCTTGTTTCCTATGTGATAAGAACAAATTACTTAACATTTTTGCTCAACTTTCTAGAAAAGCATATGGATTTCCACAACCCAAAATATCATTACTTATGGTGACAAAACAGTTATACTGATAAACAGGTTAAAACTGCAAACAGATACCTCAACTTATATGTCTACACTAAAACGTTTTATTGCTGGTTACTCAAAATAACCACATTACTTTTTACCACATCAATACATCATTAAATCAAGAAAACAATCAACTATTTAAACAAGAAGCTACCGCTATCAATGTGAACTAATAGCTGCACACAGAGCTTTAAAACTTGTTACTATTAATCAAAAGATGTTTATCACTTGGATAAAGATAAGGCACAAAAGCTAAAGGACTGACAAATACATCTTTTACAGGACATTTGAACATGTCACAGTGAAGTCTGAAACACTCAGAAACATGGCATGATAACGAAGATCAGCTCTCCAAAGTCAAGGTTGTAAAGCCTCCCAAGTGCTAACAAATATACACCAGGACAAACAAGAAGGCCCAGCATCCCCATGGAAGTAATAACCATGCCCGGGTTCTTCAAACTGCTTTCCTGCTCAGTTCACTCCCTACATGTGGCGCTGTAAGCTCTGCCACTACACATTCCAGCACCCCTGCACATTACTCCAAGAAAAAAGGGAGAAAGACAGCACTGAAGTGGCTTCACGGCTAACTGCCTCCACTCAGTCTGACTTTACGACCACTTCTATCATACACAAATCCATTAGGAATGTAAGTTCCAACCACACCCCTCCATGGAGTGGTATCAAAGAAGGCTCCGCGAAACAGCAAATGAAGACAAAGTCAGGTTTCAGGAAAGGCTCTGAGTAAGGTAAAGCAAACAGGGCTGGGCAATCTGATAATGACAGTGTCTTCTAACTCTGAAAAAATAGAAGGAAGAAAGAAATCCACTATGCTTTCCCTACATTCCCTTCTAAAAAGGCAGTAAGGCTCCTACACATGGGTCTCCTCTGTTCCCTGTTGGTCTTTAATGGCCCCCATGCCGGCCCTCAGCCTGGCAGAATGGTATGTTCAAAAGTGTCTCTGGCTGCTGCTGAGTTCACTGGTGTCCTACACGTGGACCAGAATCTTAACAGCAAAACAAACAAGGCAAACACACAGAGATGTTCAATTTACCCAAAATTCACAGGAAAACAAGAAGGCCTCCCATTCTCTGACATGTTGTGGATAACAAGGAGAACACCACTCCTCCTCTCCCCATTCTCCCACTCCCCACACACAGATACACACCCAAATTGCAAACCACATGCTACACACAAACCCCTGCAAGAAGAATGTAAACAGTCCTTTGGTCTTAATGATAGCACCATAAACGTTATACATTCTAGGCAGTGTTACAACCACCACAATAACCCTTATATGCAATCTCTAGAGGAAAAGATTTTGTGGCCAGCGCTGTGGTGTAGCAGGTAGAGCCACTGCCTGCAGTGCCGGCATCCTATATGAGTGTCGGTTTGAGTCCCAGCTGCTCCGCTTCCAATCCAGCTCTCTGCTATGGCCTGGGAAAGCAGTAGAAGATGGCTCAAGTCCTTGGGCCCCTGCATCCGTGTGGGAGGCCTGGAAGAAGCTCCTGGCTTCAGATTGGCACAGCTCCAGCCGTTGCAGCCAACTGGGGAGTGAACCAGCAGATGGAGGACCTCTCTCTCTACCTCTCCTTCTCTGTGTAACTGTCTTTGAAATAAATAAATAAATCTTTAAAAAAAAAAAAAAAGAGGAAAAGATTTTTAGAACAGTGAGTCTAAGTGAGACACCACAAAACCAGTAACTCAAGAACAGGGACTTATTGGCATATTCCTCTGCAATTCCCTAGTTCAAAGGTTCTCAAACCTGTCTGCAAATCAGAATCACCCTGGGATTTTTTAAAACCTCTACCTGAGGCCCATGCCACGCCCCAGAATCATTAAATCACGATCTCTGGAAGAAACCACAGGCATCAGCATTTAAGCTCTTCAGTGATCAGGTGATTCCAATGGAGACAGATTTGGGGATCCATGCCCCCTCCCACACTTGGAGCTATGCTTGGCAGGCAGTGGATGCTCAGTAACTTGTGATTAGCAATGGTGAGAACCTCACACCAGTTTGCTGTTGTTAAACTACAGGACAAAGAGGAAACAGGAACAGATAAACAAAAGAAACAAAAGAATGGCAACAGTTCTTTTCTCTTTGCTTACAAACCTGTATGTGAACACAATGCTCACAGATTAGCACTTAAACACCAGGTTAAAACAAAGAATTTCTCTTGCAATAATTTGAGAAAAAAGAGAGCAAATCCCAGAATTCAAGATTTCCTAAAACAGTGATTTTGTGCTGAATTTGATCACATTTGTTTGTGGACTTAGTTTACTTTAGAGCACTGCTAGAGGCATCCATCAGTAAACAATCACAATGAGATGCCAGAAAACAAAGATGCCAAGAAACATTAAGTAAAACACCCTCTAACTATACAGTAAGAGGGTCATGGTCACAGCACATGACTTCAGGACCAAAATAAAAGATATGTAAGAACCGGGATGGGACCCCTGCTTCTGCCTGGCCTGGCGCTGGCTGTTGTGGCCGCCTGCAGAGCGAACCAGCAGATGGGAGCTCTCCCCCCACTTCCTCCCTCGTTAACTCTTTCAAAATAAATAAACCTTCAAAAAAAAAAAAAGATACTGTAAGAAGGATGCAGCAGCACCCCATTTGCAGCATGTGAGCACACTTAAGACAGGAAGTTTTTTTGTTTGTTTGTTTGTTTTTTGACAGGCAGAGTGGACAGTGAGAGAGACAGAGAGAAAGGTCTTCCTTTGCCGTTGGTTCACCCTCCAGTGGCTGCTGCGGCCGGCGCGCTGCGGCTGGCGCACCACACTGATCCAATGGCAGGAGCCAGGTGCTTCTCCTGCATTCCCATGGGGTGCAGGGCCCAAGCACTTGGGCCATCCTCCACTGCACTCCCTGGCCACAGCAGAGAGCTGGCCTGGAAGAGGGGCAACCGGGACAGAATCCGGTGCCCCGACCGGGACTAGAACCCGGGGTGCCGGCGATGCAAGGTGGAGGATTAGCCTAGTGAGCCTCGGCACCGGCCAAGACAGGAAGATTTAATGCCTTTTAGGCGCACCTGCTCCACAAGACTCTCCAAGGCAGCAGTTATCAAATCTGGCTAGCCTCACAATGCAATCACCTTGGAAACTTTTGACACTCAGGCCGAACTTAGAACACTTAAATTTCTGGAGAGGAAACACATGCATGAGAACTTTTTAAAGCTTTTCAAATGATTCCAATTGCAGACAAGGTTGAGAATCACAACTCCAAGAAATCATAATCAACGTCGTCGAAATTACACTTGATGGATTCTGACTGGGAGTTTCAATAACAAAAAAAAAAAAAAATTCTTTAAAATATTGCTCTTGGCTCTGAGTTCTTTCCTGAGATGCCCAAAGGATATCAGGTACACTTTCATCATACTTTGCTTCAATATTCAAAAATATCTAAGAAAGTGAACTATTAACTCTTTTATTATAAACATACTTGGGTGGAATCAACAGCACCAGCTGATTAAAAAAATAAAGGGTTAAAGAACAGAAAACAAATTTGAACAAGTCAGCAATGTGTAGCCTAGGAAACAGGCCTTCAGCATGAACTCAAATTTGAAAAATAAGCTATAACACACAAGGAATTTGATGTGGATTTAAGACCAATTGCTATTCTGAAAATAAATCCCTTTATTTTGACTTTATAGCAATGACAATATTAATGTAATTGTTACCATTAGGAAAGGATCCAATAGCAGCAGAAGGAACACCAGCATATATTCCACGAAAACCACCAGCCTTATTAAAGCCTTGGGGACTCTGCAGTCTGGTTTTAATGGTATCCAGAGGAAATAATATCAAGTCAACAGAAGCACCTGCTACCCCACCGGCCTTTAAAAAAAAGTGGGGGGGGGGGGGGAGAAAAAGAAAAAAGGTTAGAATAAAACAAGGTTTTTGCCATTATAGAGCAGGGATAGAAATAAGGCTGTCTTTAAAGTACATATCTTGTATCTTTCTGTCCATGAACTTCTTGAGCATAAAGAACCTTCTATATAAATCTAGAGATTTTCCTAAGAAGATAATAAAAATTGCACTCTATTTTCAAATCAGAAATTTTATACTACAGTTTTTTGGGTTTGTTAGATTTTATTTATTTGAGAGACAGAGCCATAGACAGTGAGAGGGAAAGACATAGAGAAAGGTCTTCCATCAGCTAGTTCACTCCCCAAATGGCCAAAACAGCTGGAGTTGCGCTGATCCAAAGCCAGGAACCAGGAGCTTCTTCCAAGTCTCCCACGCAGGTTCAGGGGCCCAAGGACTTGGGCCATCTTCTACTACCTTCCCAGGCCAGTGAAGAGAGCTGAATCAGAAGGGAAGCAGCCAGGACTAGACCCTGCACAGCACCCATATGGGATGCCGGCACCAGAGGTGGAGGATTAACCTACTGAATCGCAGCACTGGCCCCACGGAAGTTCTTTCTAAATGATTATTTAGGGAATAAAGTGAATTTATTAAAAAAAAAAACAACTTTAAATTCATTTTTAAAATACAAGCCTCAAAAAAGTAAAAAAAAAAAAAAAACAAACACACACACACACAAAAAAAACCTGCAGCATACAAACACTCCTTCCCATCCTTGGTTCTAATAACAGATGACCACTTGTCTTGGTTTCCTGTTAAATCTTTTCAGTTACTTTAGACCATTACAAGCAAATACAAACTGTCGCTCCTAGGCTTCCTATCCGAGTCACGGCACCATTATCCCTCCTAGGCTTCACATCTGAGTCACGGCACCATTATGTCGCTCCCCCTCTTTGCAGAGGAACAACACAGGACCCTGCGCTGCTCTTTTGTCTGCTCGGCCCTTCCCAGGTTTGCTGCTGGTTCTTCCCGGGTTGGCTACCATCCTTCCACCTCCGTGGAAGGGCGGTTCCCCCTGCCACTTTCCCCACTTCTGCGGGGGAGCGGCACACCGCCGGCCGGCTCTCTCGGGGGCTGCACAGGTGTTCCCTCAGATGTTCCTGGTGCATGTTGTCTCTCTCCTCCTTTATAGTCCTCTTCCACCAATCCCAACTCTGCTACCCACACGCCGAGCACGCTGCTCTCCTCCAATCAGGAGCAGCTCCTGCAGCTTGTCAAGTTGGTGAGAGGCAGCTGTGTAGAAGCTGTTTACTCCTCTCCCAGCGCCATATTGTGGGAGAGCAGATGCATAGAATAAGTCTTAATTTCAGTAACTTAGTCTAGTCCAAGTTGCTCCCCACAACAAACCATGCATTAAAAAAAAAAAAACATGGTATACAATGGGCACTATTCTGCACTTTTTTTCATTTGCCAATTCTTTGCATATCAGAACAAATGCACTACTGCTTTTAATCAAGCAGTGAATTTATATAAAAAATTTCAACACCTGTGTTTTGAAACAGTTAATGATCATTATGAATCTAGATTTGTTACTTTAAGAGTCACTCACTGAAGGGTTCATGTAATATCCTAATTTTTGTGACCATCTGAAAATTCCCTGATAATTTTTAAATTAAATAGAGATGTAACTCCTTAAAAATATCCAAGTAAAATTAAAACCTGACTCAGGCCAGCGCCGCAGCTCAATATGTTAATCCTCTGCCTGTGGTGCCCGCACACCGGGTTCTAGTCCCGGTCAGGGTGCCAGATTCTGTCCCAGCTGCCCCTCTTCCAGTCCAGCTCTCTGCTGTGGCCCGGGAAGGCAGTGGAGTATGGCCCAAGTGCTTGGGCCCTGCACCCGCATGGGAGACCAGGAGAAGCACCTGGCTCCTGGCTTAGGATCAGCATGGTGCACCGGCCCCAGCGGCCACTGGAGAGTGAATCAACGGTAAAGGAAGACCTTTCTCTCTGTCTCTCACTCTCACTGTCCACTCTGTCAAAAAAAAAAAAAAAACACCACACCTGACTCAAGGGGCCAGCACAGCGCTGTGAGGCAGTGGGTAAAGCCACCGCCTGCAGTGCTGGCATCCCATATGGGCACCAGTTCGAGTCACGACAGCTCCACTTCTGATCCAGCTCTCTGCTATATCCTGGGAAAGCAGTGGAAGACGGGTCAAGTCCTTGGGGCCCTGCACCCACATGGGAGACCCAGAGGAAGCTCCTGGCTCCTGGCTTTGGGTCAGTGCAGCTCTGGCCACTGTGGCTATCTGGAGAGTTAACCAGGGGATGGAAGACCTCTTTGTGTCTATGCCTCTCTATAAGTCTGCTTTTCAAATAAATAAATAAATCTTTAAAAAAATAAAAATAAATTTAAAAATAAACCTGACTCAAACTATCTGGTATGTCATGCAGCATACTGCACTGGAGATGCTGCAATTTAAAAACTGATTAAAGGATTGGGTGTTCTAAGACAATGCTCACATTCCATATTGGAACGCCTATTGGAGTCCCGGCTGTTCCACTTCTGAGCCAGCTTCCTGTTCGTGTGCCTTGGAAGGCAGATGATGACCCAAGTGTTTGGAACCCTGCCACCCATGTGGTGATCCAGTTGGAGTTCCTGGCTCCTAGCTCCAGCCTAGCCCAATCCTAGTTGTTGTAGTCATTTGGGGAGTAAACCAGTGGAATTTAAATTTTCTCATTGTCTCTTTCCATCTCTGTCACTCTGCCTTTCAAATAAATAAATTCTTTTGCAAAAAGAAAAAAAATCCTGACTAAAAACTAAGTTTATGATGATTATATTCAAACACATGCAGAATAATGTAAAAAGAGTTTCATCTCAAAGACAAAAGACGTATCAAAAAAATATGAACAGGAAGACAATGAAAAAAAAGTGGACAGACAAGATCTAAAGGTGCTGTTTAACGATATATATCAAAACTGGGCTATACTAAGCAAATACACCTATCAAGAAGAAATCTCTCAACATGATTCCTACATAGTAACTTTTTAATTGAACTGTTAACTTTTCCTTTTTCCTTTTAACTTTTGAATTCTGAATCCTATGAATCTATTACCTATTTACAAAGTCAAACTATACATCTAACAAGACAGGTGTGGTGCAGTGGGTTAAGCCACTGCTTAGGAGGCACAAATCACATATTGGATGGCTAGTATGTGTCTGATCCAGCTTCCTGCTGATGCATCCTGGGAGACAGCAGATGAAGGCTCCTTCTACCCACAGGAAAGGCCCACATGGAGATCTGGGCTCTTGGCTGTATCTTGGCCCAGCCCTGCCTATTGCAGGCATTGGGGGAATAAACCAACATACGTAAGATCTCTCTTCCCACCCTCTTTGTTCTGCCTTTCAAATAGATGAAAATAAGCATTTTACAACACTATACATCCACAACATGGAAAAAGAAGAATCACATGCAAGGTTCAAATAGATCGGCTGTTTGCACTCTCTGGGCTTACAGAATGCTCAGGTGGAACAAACCCTGGTACTTGTGCTCTGCTTGCCATTCACTATAAGATCACTCCAAGGATTAACTGGAAAAATGAAGTATTCTGATTAAACATTCAACGCCAATTTTAAAATTAACTGGCATAGACCATTCAAAATTAGTTTACACCAGAAAAGTACATTGCCATTAACCATGAATGCTATACTAAATGATCAGTGTAAAAAGCATGAAAGAACTTCAAAGATCACGAAGGTCTTTTCCGCAAATGGCCTAAAATGATGCGAGCAAAAGACCACAGTGAGACACCAGTAGAGAGCTTAAAGTAGCACTAACAGAATAGAGACAACATGTGATTTCTTTCTGGACATAAAGGTGGCTTTTCCAAGTCAAAGGAAACATCCAAACAAATAATGTAGTAAAGTAAAAACAAATAACCTTTTTGTCATTCCTCTCACTTACTTTTTAAAGGTTTTTATAGAATCCAGTAAGTAAATCAAGTATTTTGCCTGCCTCACAGCATGGACAGAATAAAGAGAATAAAATCCTGGTGAGAATGTCTGACACAACTGGATTCCTTAAACACATGCTGCATTTCATTCTAATTTTCTCATTAATCTTAAAAGAAGATTCAGAGAAGCGCTTGCTATCTACTGCTAAATTTTAATCAATAAGTTAATTACTGCTTTAATCTATTTGCGTACTTTGCATGCATTGATTCTTTAACCTTTCACAATTCTTATCTTCTGAGAATAAGATTACTAATTCAATCTACTTATCTAGTAAAACATGAATCAAAAGTTACTAATTGCTTCTGTGAATTTCAAACTTCTGCAACTCAAATGTCATTTACATTCATTAGACTGAAGAAACAGACAGCTAACAAAAAAAAAAAAAAAACAGCTAACAAAAAAATCTGAATAATACCTATAAATTGGCCAAACGTATTTAAGATTTAAACAATACTTTAAAAAATGCTGAAATTTTACATCAATAGTTTTGTACAAAATATACAAGCCAACATCAACTGAATCATATCACATCTTTTACTTTTTAGCCTGAGAAATCTGTTATGATTGCTTATCAAATAACGTATCAGGCAAATGACACCAAGACTTATGGTAGTTTACACTGAAACTGTTTAGGTTAAGAACTAGACAAAATTTTAAAAAAATGTACCACAGATAACCCTGAGCAAGCCTCGTTCCAGCATAACGATTTATTGCAAACTCAACACCATACAATTACAATACACATCTCTACCTTAAGTTAAATGCAAAAAAATGCTGACAGGCCACACAAAGGAAGCATCTAACAGCTACTTTGAAATTACTCTGGGAATTCAAAAGTGTCAGTATTACACCCAAAAAAACCTTTTCAAAAGGAGGCTGGCAGAACATCAACCAAAATATTAATCAGTGCTGCTCAACTATAGGATGAAAACAATTTGTGCAACTTTTTATTTATTTGAGAGTAGGAAAGAGAGAGCACCCAGCTATTGGCTCATTCAAGTGGCTGCAAAGGTTGGGA